TGCCGAAATGCCCAGCCCTGCACTCTCCCTCCCTCTCCCTTGCCTCCTGCGGTTCTGCCATGGGTGACCTGACTCGTTTATCTTCAAACAGCTCAAGAAGGGTGATAGGAGTGTTGGAAAAGCATTAGCAGGAAGAGGCCTGGCCTGAAGCCTGGCCAAGTATGCAAGGGGCAGGAGGCTCGCTCTTGCTTTCAGCTGGCTCAGGATCAGCTTGAGCTGCATATGAAAAAATATTAAAAGCCCAGCATAAACATCGCTTCGACCAAGGACCCTAGCAGCTTGACCGTGCTTAAATAGACTGTTTGGCCTCCTAGATAATTCTTACCCTAAGTTAATTAAGGAAACACTTAACAAGCAACAAAATTTTCCTATAGAAGGCTGTTGGCAGGGAGATGCGCAGCAAAGAGTTGGCCAGCATCCCATGCAACCATCCTTCTGACAAACAAACCGTGGTGCACGTTGTTCAGGAACAGGCACTAAGGGCCCATTTGGGAAGACAGCCCTATTCTGGAAAGCTCTGAAGTCTGCTTTAAATTTTACTTTACTAGGCTTTACTTTTAAATTTTAACGTGACTTTGGCGACAGTATTTGATGCAGCAAGCGATGAGCAGGTCTCCTACAAGCGAATGAAATGAGCAGGGTGTAATTTGCTGCTGTTTTACTTTGCCTCCCCAGCGTATTTATTACTTGTCCCTGGAGTTCTACATGGGACGCACCCTGCAGAACACGATGGTGAACCTGGGCTTGCAGAATGCTTGTGATGAAGCCATTTACCAGGTGAAGTCTTATCCTGGGGCCCCCCTGAAGATTTAGGCAGACTTTTCCATGCGGAGGGCTGGGTAGCTTTATTTCTCAGGGCTTCCTCCTAACGATGTTTTATTCTGACTAAACAAAACAAGGGGCTTGGCTCTCTGTTAGTGTTTTTCATCCCCCAAGAGAGGGCATGGGGGAACCTTGGGGTGCCTCAAAAGTTGGAGTATAGTTTTCTCAAGCCGCTATTTTCCTGTAGTGACTCCGGAAAGCAACTCATAGTGTCCAAAAAGACTAGGGAATCCCAAGATGCAGACAGCTTTCCATCACTAGGAGGAGAGATGATGGCTCATCTCGGAAGATGTAGTCTGATGAGGGAGGCTGACCAAGAAAGGAAAACTGGAGTACAAAGACAACAAACTACAATTCACACGTGCAGGTGCACAGGGCACCGCAGCAGCACCGGCAGATAAAAACGTATCACTGGGAAGGAAGAAGGGGGAAAATTGTTTCCTTAAATTAAAATGTTGTTGGATGACTTCAAACTGGAAAAACCGCAGCCACTGCTGAGTAGCACCAAGTTGATCAGAAATGCAAGGCTGTGATTACTCAGGCTTGCAGCCATCTCTGCAGCAGGACAGTGATCTTTGTGACAGACTGTGTTGGGGCTTTCTCACCCCAAATCTTTATTCCCTGCGTTTGTCCCCCCAGCTCGATCTGTGTTATGCTTTCGAGTAAAGTTGGGCTCTGTCACTATCTCTCCGAATAATGCGCTGTGATTGCCAATGAAATGTCTTGGCTGGCACTTTCCTTGCCAAGGGATATGAAGGGTTTTCCAGGGAGGGATCCAACACTTCTCTCTCTGAGGTATCACGCCTCAGAGCAGAGACTAGTTTCATTCAGGGAGGATCTTCACGTCCCCTCAGGAGGCACTTTCAATGTGCTAATTTGGCCAGAGTTGTCAGTGAAGGCTTTCCTCACTATAGTCTCTGACACGTGGAGCTCATGATGGCCAGCGGTCAGCTCAGATGGCAGGTCTTATATCCAGCATGAGTCAGTCACTGAGAGAATTCGTCTCAGTTTTAGCAACCCCTGTCACTCTGTGTACGAGGCTTTCTTGGCCCACTGTTGAAGAGAGATGCAGTACTGGGAGAGAGGTTTGGGGAGCAACTGTGGCATCTGCCCGACTCCCTGTTCACCTTCAGGCCGAGGTGAGAAACTGCTGTCCTCTGAGAGAGAGCGTTCTTGACTCCTCTGAGAATCTGCTGCTGGCCTGCAGCCTCGAAGCGGATGCAGCCCCCAAAGAGGCTGCCAGCTGTTGGGTTGGAGAACAGGTTGCCCAAGAGATACAGGAAATGAGACAACCCCATTCATCCATGGACTCCAGCCTAGGAGCTCCACTGCGGAGCGGTCGCAGGGTGGGAAGACATAGAGCGTAACAGCAATAGCTGCAAGAAGAAGCTGCAGACATGTCTGTAACATTCCTCAAGGCTGGGTGGATGTAAAGAGAAGAGCGACGCACATAAGCAGGCAGGATTCTGCAGTCGCTTTTGTGCTGACTGGCCATTCATTTACCATCCTTTTTCCAATCCAAGTTCAGTGGATGGGCCTCACAGCTTGAAGGACTGCCAGAAGACAAGTGTTTTGTTTGATGTCTCTAAGGAAACCTTCCATTTCATGGGAAGGTGACACTTGATGATGAGCTAAATCATTTTCCAAGTAATTAGGCTGCCTGGCAATGGGAGACTGGTAAGATGTGGAGGAGCGGGGGCAGAGAGCGCCTCACGTGTGTTTTTATCTTGTGTAGGATGGGTTGTTTTGGGATTTGGGTTTGTTCCTCCTCAGAGAACAGCCCCATAACATGGGAGGGGTGAGGTAATGACAGTGTGTTCTGCTGTGGTTATTTCCCCAAAGCTGGGTTTGGACTTGGAGGAACTGGAGGAAATTGAAGAAGACGCTGGGCTGGGAAACGGAGGCCTGGGCCGCTTGGCAGGTAATACGGGGAGAGGGGAGCCCTGTCCTCACGACAACTGCACAAGGACCAAGGGGCGGCCTGACAGGAAGGCTCTGTAGTTACGCCCTCCTTGTGAGCATGTCGCATGTTCACCCCAACCCCCTGACCACCCTCTGCTCCGTTACTCACCCCACGCACCAGGGACTGCCTGCTGCAGCAGGACAACGTGTAGGCCGTAACTCACACCCGTCTCGGCCAACATCCACCACACAGCCCTACAGTATGGTGCCTTCTGCGTGCTCCCAGCTAGCCAGAAATTATCCTCCCTCTCCAAAGGCTAAACGAGAGCATCCAGAAGATAAATCCATGCCTGACGGAAGCACGGCAAGCTGGGATGTGGCTGAAAGAGGCTCTCTGAAGCCTCTCTTCCCCCCCTACCCTGTAAATTCTCTCACTTTCCTGAGGCATCCAAACAGCTCTCGTGTAGGCAAGATGTTGGCTGCTATTTTAATTTGCCTGTCACATAGGGCTGCTGGGAACAAGGCCTCCCTGACACAGTGGAAATGCCAGGGCTGATCTTTACTAGGGCTGTCCTGGGCTGATGGTTGGAAAAGCTTGCTTTGAAAGAGATAACAGTAAAGTACTGCCAGTCGGGTTCAGAAGCCGTACTTTACCTGCTGTGCAGGCTTAGATCAATCAAGGTGTGGGTTTCTCAGACGAATTTAGAAGAGCTCTCACTGCAGCAAGGCTGCGTTTGTATCCATTTCAGTCATGCTTGGCTTGAGCTGTTGATAACCCTGCAACTGCTCTGGTCTCTGATACATGCAGGTACTGCTGTCCACAACTGCTTGCACGGGGAAGGTTGTCACACCTGCACCTTCACCACCCAGGGCTGCGGGTGCTCCTGGTGTCACCCCCCCAAACTCCCCTGGTGTTGGCCTGGTGCTAACGCCCCCTTGCTGCTGCCTGCAGGAGTCCCGTCCTAGTCACTGAAAACTTTGGGGTGTTCATGGCAGCTCAGCATGACGTGCGCTGGGGCCGTGCTGCAGGCTGACCCTTCCTACGCACCGATTTCGTCCGAGTAATAAAAAGTTTTCAGCAGCATCGGTTATGGTTGCTCCTCACCTTCCCCCCCCCGCCCCCACAGCACATTTTAGTGGTACAGTGAGCTGGGTGTGAGGTTCCTCACGTTGTGATCATGCTCTGCTCTTCCAGCTTGCTTCCTGGACTCCATGGCCACGTTGGGGCTGGCAGCGTACGGTTACGGCATCCGCTATGAGTTTGGTATCTTCAATCAGAAGATTGTTGATGGCTGGCAGGTACATTGGTAAACCAAAGGCACCCCTTCCCTTTCTGTTCCATGCTGCGATGGTCACCTCTGCCTGTGGACAAGGCCTGGTCACAAAAACCGGCTTGGCAGCACTGTGGTGACTTGGGCTGTTTATAAGCTGATCATTTTAGCCCATCACCTGCAGTGCCAAATCAGCTGTTACTTCTTAGCACCTGTGCCGACCCCAGGGCTCTGACTGCCTCAGCAAAGAGAAATGCTGAGGGCTTCTGGGGGCACATGTGCAGCAGGCTCACACCCAGGGGCACGCACGAGCACCCCCCCCCCCACAGCTGACCAACCCAGCAAAGTGGTGTGTGAACTATGCCTGTGTGGCACAGCTGGAACGCGAATTCCCCCTGCCCGAGACCCCACAGCATAGACGCAACGACCTGAGAGTCCCATCTGACCTGAGCGTGAGTGTGTGCAAGGAGTCAGAGTAACGATGGTGACGTGCCTGAACAGCTAACGAAAGTGTCTCGATTGAGGACGAATGGAAACATGATGGAATAAATGAAAGTGCCTGGGGTGCTGCTGCTCCTGTATGTTTCCCAGGAGATGAACCGCTGAGGCTTAAACAGGGACTCTGCTGTAGCATAGTCATAGTGTTTGGTAAGTGAAACTAGGATAAATAGCTGCCCCAAATGACAGCTATCCATAGTGTATGTCTGGAAATTGTTTCACTTTGGAGACCTGTGTTGCTTCTGTGCATAAAGGACCCTTTTTCCTCTTAAAATAGCACTGCATAAATCAGTGCAGGTGAGGAGTTTCTGGTTTGTTTTTTCATCCTTCCCCACAAAGAAGCTGCAATGCGGCTCTATAAATGGTGAAACGGGAAAAAGCAGCTAGTGCAATAGGCTCGATGTTACCTTAAAAAGAACACAAGTGGTAATGCTGGGTTATATCTCAGGGCTGCCCCGCTCCTGGCAGAAGAATGCCTGTGGACACAGAGCATTCTTTTCGAGTGCCTCAGCCCCTGTGGTTTCTGGTGCACGTTGGCCTTGATTGCGCTGCTGAATTCATTTTTTACTCCTCTTAGTGCTCTTACAGGCAGAGAGAAGAAATCCTCTGTGGCAGAGGACAGTGCGGTTAGCAAGATCTCGATTACTGGGGATGGTTTGTGGCTGGGAACAGCGCTGGTGGGCTTCCAGGGAACCACATCCCACATATCGCGCTGTCACCATCAAACTGGATGTAAATCCCTTGAGACTCACTGAGCATAGGTGTCCATGCGGCTCATGGGAATAGTATAAACCAGTGCAGCTCTGCAAAGCCAATGCGAGAGGCTGATTTATACCAGCTAGGATGTAGTCATCCATGTTTCAGAAAGCCCAGCTGTCTATTTATAGAGGCCTGTGCATCTTAATTTCCAAAGTCAGCTTACTAAGGCTTTGCTTTTAAGCTGGGACTCTCTTCAGAAAGGGCCTTCACAGAGGCCTAGTTTGGCCTTCGCTTGGAGATGTAAGCCTTCGCTTGAATCACACTCACTTGCCTCTTTCAGGTTGAGGAGGCTGATGACTGGTTGCGCTATGGCAATCCCTGGGAGAAAGCTCGCCCAGAATACATGCTTCCTGTGCACTTCTACGGCAGAGTGGATCACACCCCTGAGGGCGTGAAGTGGATCGATACTCAGGTACAAAGATCACCCCTAGTGTCTGGCTTGGGGAGGACAGGACGGGTCAGGACAGCGTGGAGGGGGAGAATCCGTCCCCAAGCTAATTGGAGCCAGACTCTGCTTTTCTCCCAGTTTGGCGAGACTACCTCTGCTCCATTTGCAATTTCCTGTTTGTCAACTGGAGCTGCAGCAGAATCCGAGGAAAAAGAAAGAAATATTTAGTCACAGCTGTGACTTCAGATCGGTCAGAGCCTGATTCTCTACCGATTTCCAGGGTGCAATCTCGCATCCTTGGGTGGAATTAAAACCTGATTTATGTTGGCAGAGAAGTGTATCCCTGAGAGCTGTGTGTTAGGCACCTCTACACTGCTCCTGGCTACCCCTTGCTCAAACCCAGCCATTTTGTACTTTGCTGCTGGGGGTAGAGATTCATATCTTGGGGTAGCTATGGAGCAATCTACTAGGTGCTTAACTTGTGTCACCGGAGCAAGTTCTTCTCTTTCCCAGAGCAGCCTGATCAGTAGAGTGCTGACAGGAGACGCTCGCAATGTGGTTTCAAGTTTCCAGTCTGGAGGCCTTGTTTTGTGCCAGCATGGAAAGCAAACACTACTACATAATAAATCTATTCTAGTCTTGCAGCTGAGGAAGGCATGCTTTACCTGGGAACAGATTTACTAAGAGGACTGAAGATGTATTGGCCTCTCCTCTCTAATCACTGCCTAGGGGAAGAAAGGACTTTATGAATTTCTCTCAGATTTAGGGACATGGCCCAGTCTTGTTCCCGCATTGGCCAAGGGTCTCTCGGCCTGTTGGGCCAGCATTGTCCATCTCAGGAGTGCAGAGTCATAAAGCCAAGCTGGTCTCTTCAGTACCAACAGCTCTCCCAAGAGCTGAGCCCGGTTGCAGAACCACCCAGGCCTCTTCAGAAGAGAAAGAGAAACTTTCCCAAGCTGTGCACTGAGAAACACTGCTTCCTACAAGAAAGTGAGTCCAAATACAGCACTATTCTGTTTATGTGATGTGTGCCCCAGGCCTGTGGCTCAGTCAAGGGCGGGCTTGCATTCCTTCCACGTTCGGAGCTGGTAATATTAGCTTTTAGAGCCCGAGCTCTTGCTGATTTTTCCCCTGAGGGGCGATGCTGATGCCAGCACGAAGAGGCTGTTCAGGGCCGATGCACGGATCCGCCCAGATCTTCCCTGCCCCATAAGCACAGGTACCTCTGTTCTCTGCTGCCTCGCATGTCATCACCTGGGGAAGGTCTGTGGCTGCATGGCAGTCATGCCAGTACATATTGACTTGTTCAGCGGGAGCTAGCTCCTGTTGCCTCTGTCAGCTCGGGCTCCGTATGCATAAAGCCCTCAGTCCCTTTCTTCTGGGCTGAGGTCAGGGCACCTTGTCTTGCTGCTCAGCAGGTTTGGAGGCAAGTGAATATTGGCACAGCAGCAAACTGGAGTGTGCAAGCTTGGAAGCACACCCTTGCCTTGCCTGACTAATACAAACAGAGGTGGGTGTCCCGCTGTTGTTATTGGTAGCAGTAAGCCATCCGTGTAGCTCAGGGTTTAAGCATCAGCTACAGATTGCACCAGTGCTTTTGCACTTGTGTTCAGTTCAGGCCATGCTGGAGGTCTTGGTGGGTTTACCCAGTCAGGTTCATCACAGGTTTAATGGAGTTCCTGGGCGAATCGCTCTGGGAGTGGTGTTGGGGCAGTAGGGTTTAGTCCCGAGAGGCTGCAGAGGGCTAATGGATAGGATTCAGCCTGCAGAGTCTATCCTGGATGGAAGTACAAAGGTTCCGGCTGTCCTAGGACCCTGGCCCTACCCCAGGACAGACAGAATCGCAACGGCTGGCTGAGGATGTTTGCAATGCTCTGATCAATAGTTAAGAGGTACTCCAGTTGGTATAGGGAGGTCAGCAGCTTCCTTGCCACTCTGCTACCTTTTGTTGATGGGCTCTTAAATCCTGTTTGTCAGTAAAGCTCCAAACAGCTCTGGTCCTTCTATTAACTGCCAGCAGATGCTAGCAGTGTCCATGATAGCAAGTAAGTCTGTGAACCTCAGCAAGTGTGTTTTAGTGCAGATAGGACCTTTACTGCAGCCACGAATTGCCCGTTCTCTGGCTTCCTCTATGCCGAGATCTGGGTCGCTTTCCTACCTTCTCTGACTGTGAGGCCGCTACATTGCTTATCGGAGGGCAATATTGTCCTCTTGCAGGTCGTCCTTGCAATGCCTTACGACACACCGGTGCCAGGATACAAGAACAACACTGTGAACACCATGAGGCTGTGGTCTGCAAAAGCGCCTAATGACTTCAACCTCCAGGAGTGTAAGTGCTATCTCTCTGCTGCCTCTCTTCTGGCCAGTGGACTTCTGGGCTGGGACATGGTTGCTCCTGTGTGTACAGCATCTGGCACAGCACTTCCTATCTCGCCTCCTTCACCCGGATACTGCCAAAACACAGCACTGCGTGCGCATCCATGGATCGCCCCACCTCCAACCACCTCCAGAACCCCCATGCACCAGGACACCCATCCATCCTTCCATCCCTGATATGCCTGCCTCACCCTTGAAACCTGTCCTGAGCCTTCCCCAAGTACCAGACCACCTGCCAAAGTGTTCTCCATGCAACCAAACGAGCTACCAACCCACAGTTGCCGTGGAGGGTTACTTCCATGTAGCATCATCCCTCGGTGCTGAAGAAAAATGGCACCTTGCTCTCTCTCGCTGCTGGTTTCCTTTGAGTCCGTGTGTGAGCCACTCTGTGGACTGTAGATCATTTGTCAGGCTCTAACTGTAGTAATGAAGACCAGATGCAGGGCAACTAACATACAGCTCAATGCTAGGCCGTTACCAAAAGGGAAGGTTTTAGACAAAACTGATTTGACTCCTCCTTTTGTACTTGCAAGCACCAAGGCATGTGTGTTGAAGCAGCACTGCCAAGAGGACTTGTGTGGGACACTTAGGACAAGGGGTGCTGGCTCTCAAATCCTCGTAATGCTTTCTCAGTTCTTCACTGATGACTGTGAGCTGAGTTTTGGGTGGGCCTTTTGTACCCTTCAGGAGCTGACAGTGATTCTGGTCTCTTTGCTTCTTTGCCCTATCCCATTTCTCCTTTGTCCTTAGGCAAGATGGCTGGTTTACTTGCTTCCTTTTTCTGCCTTCTGTCGCTTCCATCTGTCTTCTGTTTCTGTCTGTTCTTCCCAATCTGTGTGTCTTGAGGAACTGCATGGTGATGTGCTATTCTCTTATCCCTCATCTCCTGTTTCTCCTGGTGCTTTCACACATGCGCATTCCCATTCATGCTTCATTAATACTAGCTTTAATGTTCCTACTAAAAATCTCTGCAGTCATGGCTAGGAGGATGTGAGGGCCCTTGGCCCAGGAACTGTACAAGAGAAGAGGGAAAAGCATACAGTGTCTGGTGCCTGGCTGAATTTCTATAGCTGTTGCAGTCCTGTATGTACTTCTCCCATGCTGCAGTCAATGTGGGTGACTACATCCAGGCGGTGTTGGACAGAAACCTTGCAGAAAACATCTCCAGAGTCCTGTACCCAAATGACAATGTGAGTGACTCCCTTCTTGCCTCTCTTTCCTGCTGTTTGGGATCTTCCTCCCTGTCGTTTTATTGTTGGTGTGCCTGGACACCACGCTGGCTCTTGAGGGGACTCCAAAAGCCTTGGTCCGAAAACCCTGCAAGGGTTCTTGCAGGGAGGGAGGTAGCTGTGCTTGGTCTGTGCACGTTACAGCAATGTGGCAGATTCTGTTGCCCGCCAGAGGCATCTGAGACCAGCCAGCTACGTTTTAGATGAGCAGTACCATCCCCTGGAGCTCTGCTGCTCCTGGCCCAGCTTTGGGATTTCAAGCACTGCCCCCCCTCCCCCCCCCGCCCCCATTCGGGCCCCGCAGCTGCTGCCCCTTGAGATGCAGCCTGAGGGACATACGTGGTAGCCCTGGTGAGGCGCTGAACGTGTAAGGTCTGATGGGAAGTCCGTCAGAGTGGACAGGAGCATCTCCAGGGGGTTGGCTGCCGACTGGAGATGACAGCTGCAGCACTGATGGCTGTACATCCTCCACATGCAGTTCTTTGAAGGCAAGGAGCTGCGACTGAAACAGGAGTATTTTGTGGTGGCTGCTACCCTCCAGGACATCATTCGCCGTTTCAAGTCCTCCAAATTTGGCTGCCGAGACCCTGTAAGAACATGCTTTGAAACCTTCCCGGACAAGGTGAGTTTGTGGACCAAGACGGGCCATGGGCTTGGGCCAGACTTGCCTATCATTAGGGAGAACAGGATGCTCAGGACCAGGCAATTTGGGTTGGAAAACAGATGATCACTGGGTCCATCTTCCCAGGGGAAAATTTGCAATTTGGAGCAAAACTTGCAAAGGTTGAATAGCTCCGTTCCTGACAGCTCTCTGCGTTGCTAGGATGGGTGGCAGGTTTGTGAGCCATGAGAACGGGCTTGAGGCCGACTCCCACTCTCTCCCCCGAGGACGCTGTACTAGGGCACTGTCAGAGTCTTGTTACTGCCAGATCTAAGCCTGGCATTTCTGTGTTGCAGGTAGCCATTCAGCTAAATGACACCCACCCAGCCCTGTCCATCCCAGAGCTCATGCGGATCCTGGTGGACGTGGAGAAAGTGGATTGGGACAAGGTAGGCAGAGCTGTGAGATGCACTCCAGACCTTCCAGGCTGAGAGCTGCCACCCTGTCCTCACACAGGGTTTCCTTTCCCCTCCTGACCTGGGTGCACGTGTTAACCTGCTGTCTGTATGCAGGCCTGGGAAATCACAAAACGGACCTGCGCGTACACCAACCACACCGTGCTACCTGAAGCCCTGGAGCGCTGGCCAGTCTCCATGTTTGAAAAGCTGCTGCCACGTCACCTAGAGATCATTTATGCCCTCAACCAAAGGCATCTGGACGTAAGGGCCTGGAGTGGTCGCTGCATGGGGAGCCTGGGGGGCTGATGTAGCTGCATTTAGGATGGGAATGTTCCCAGGCCCTACATCTGGGTCACTAACGTCCCTTTCTCTTTTTCTGCATCCCGGCAGCATGTGGCAGCTCTCTATCCAGGGGACATTGACCGTCTCAGGAGGATGTCGGTCATCGAAGAAGGCGACTGCAAGCGCATCAACATGGCACACCTCTGTGTGATCGGCTCCCATGCTGTCAATGGCGTGGCTCGTATCCACTCTGACATTGTGAAGAACTCAGTGTGAGTCAGGGGGATGCCCAAGGCACGCACAAACCTCTCCTCTGCGCTCAGTGAGCTTTGCCTGCAAGTCTAGGGGTCTGGCCAGAGTGATTGGGTATCAAGGTTTGGTTGTCCTGTTGTGCACGACAGGCTGGGGACGCTGACTCATTCGGGTGCGTACAAGGTCTAACCCATCTCCTTTTGGAGTTGGTGAAACCCTAGTCTTTATGGCTGGCGGAGGATTTGGGAGGCAACACAGTGCAGGGTAGTATAGAGAGATCAGCAGCAGTTGCCCTGAGCCAGGAGCACGCGTAGGGGAAGCTGGGGGCAGCTGAAGTCCTGGGTTGTGGAGAGGCCTGGTTCAGAGTGGCTCCTGCTCCCTGCTGTTCCAGATTCAAGGATTTCTATGAGCTGGAGCCAGAGAAGTTCCAGAACAAGACAAATGGGATCACACCGAGGCGCTGGCTCCTGCTTTGCAACCCGGGACTAGCTGATGTTATTGCTGAGGTGAGTTGCAAGCGTGGGCTCTTCCTGCTGTTTGCTTCTGCTTGCCTCTTGACATCTGTGTGAACAGAGCCCGAGACTAACTCCTGGCAGGTGTGAGCGAGGACAGACTGGTAGGAGCAGGCCTGTTGCACATGTTGGTGTAGTATTAGCTGGGCTTTAAAGTCAGTGATGAAGAACTGGCCAAAGAATTGCAGAAATTGGGGCCTGTTTCCATCTCCTGACAGTGTCTACAAACAACCTGTCAGGTAGTATCACGTTATGTGGAAATGGGTGCCCACAAAAAGGGGTTCCCCCAGAACGCCAGCCCCAGCCTCGTCTCTTTTATGTACCAGGCCCTTGAAGACCAGCTTTTGCTTTGTCCTGAGACATGCTGAATAACATCCTGCAATTAAATGTATTTTTAAGCTCTACCCTTCAGTTCTCCCAATTACAGGAAGCCCTGGTACATGTGCAAACAACCTTCCTCTAAAGCTCTTCGAGAAAGAGAGACTTCTTTGGGTTTTTGCATGTGTCCTTTTTTTGCCTTTGAGCTCCCAGATGACAGAGGGCAGTAACTTCACCAAAAGAAGCTGTGCTCCTTTTCCTGTCCAGAGTGTCTCTTCATCCACTTTCCAGTAGGATCTGTTAGGGAAGCGCAGTTGTGGACTGGATGAGAAGACTCACAGGTGGGACATTCCTGTCTTGGCTTGTTCCTTTAGAAAATCGGAGAAGGCTTTATCACGGATCTGAGCCAGCTGAAGAAACTTCTGAATTTTGTCAATAATGAGACTTTTATCAGGGATGTGGCAAAAGTCAAACAGGTAACGTGGATTGGGGGGGTGGGGAGAATGTTCCCGGGAACTTCCCAGCAGCGAACACGCGTGTGTGATACAAGGCCTAGGAGCCCATGCCTGCTTCTCATCAGGTTTCCTTGGCAGGAGAACAAGCTGAAGTTCTCAGCCTACTTGGAGGAGCAGTACAAGGTCAAGATCAACCCTTCCTCCATGTTCGATGTTCAGGTGAAGCGAATTCATGAGTACAAGCGGCAACTGCTGAACTGCCTGCATGCAATCACCCTCTACAACCGTAAGTCCTGCCTGGGGCTGCTTGGCAAGGGACACTCCCTGCCAATCCCTCACTGCCAGGGTAATGCCACGCTGTATGCCAGCTGGTGGTGTGGAGGGGTGCGTCTCTCTAGCTAAGGGCTCCTGAGCCTGGCTCTGCCCTCCTGTCATGAGGGGCTCCTCTCCAGGAGGAAGACAGTGTGCCTGAAAGGTCACACAGAGCTCTGAAGAAAAGCTCTCGTCTCTGATGAGAGCAGTAAGCTTTGCCCAGTTTACCACCACTTCAGCAGCATGAATCTCTGCTCTTTCAGGCATCAGAAGTGACCCATCCAAATCCTTTGTACCCAGGACTATCATGATTGGAGGAAAGGTAAAACGCGTCCCAGACTCGCTGCGTGCGTGGCTCAGTGGGGATGTGGGGAAGGTGCTGTCCTGTTCCTGGAGCTTTATTGGGCTCACTGTGGGTTAGCCAGCACGTTCTGTGCTGGGTGGCTCTTCAGGAAACACTTTCATGGACTAGTTGGACCAAACAAGGCCCCATCGCTCCCTCCCTGTGGCTCAGGACTTCTCCTCCCATTAGGGTTTTTCTGCTGACCCACGTGAACAGCAGAGGTGAGGCCCAGATTGTCCCTGCCGTGAGGACCTGCACTGGCACCCTCTCATGTTCTCCCTTCCTTAAAATCCTTCACCCTTTCTGGGCTGCTCTTCTTCAGGCAGCCCCTGGCTACCACATGGCCAAGATGATCATCAAACTCATCACGTCCATTGGTGAGGTCGTCAACAGCGATCCTTACGTGGGGGACAGGCTCAAGGTCATCTTCCTGGAGAACTATCGGGTATCCTTGGCCGAGAAAGGTATGTCTGGTTGAGTGTAAGCACGCATCAGGAGCTGAGCATGTCCTGGCTGGCCTGAGAGGCTGTCATGGCAGGTCACCTGGCCCTCCCCAGGAAGGGTCTGAGGGCTGCAGAGTGCTGCACAGGGCAGGAAACTAGCTTCACACGGAGGGGATGGCAGCCGCATGGAGTTGCGGCAGAGCTGGAGCTGGGGCTGGGTTTGTGCCCAGCTCTGTGAGCTGTGTGGGCTGAAGCTGATGAGTTAGCAGGGCCCCTAGCAGATGCCCAGGGCTGTTGTGCTGACCTGGGGCGCAGGCTGTAAAGAGCTGCTGTCTGCAGGGGGCTAACTCCCACCTCTCTTGCACCTGGCAGCGATCCCGGCAGCTGATCTTTCCCAGCAGATCTCCACAGCTGGCACAGAGGCCTCGGGGACTGGCAACATGAAGTTCATGCTGAATGGGGCCCTCACCATCGGCACCATGGATGGGGCCAATGTGGAGATGGCCGAGGAGGCAGGCGAAGAAAACTTCTTCATCTTCGGCATGCGGGTGGAGGATGTGGAGGCCCTGGATCGCCGCGGGTTAGTGCTGGGGAGAGTGCAGCGTGTGCCAGGGCCTGTCAGATGGGGATACTGGGCTGAGGCCTGCCAGGGTGAGCTGCAGGCTCTTGGAGAAACGCTCTCCACCCTGGATAACTCTGGAGTGGGAGGAAGCAGGGGGCTGGTCTGCACTGGGTTGTGTTGTGAACATCCTCTCAAGGATCCAGTCCAGGTGGCTCAGCCAGAGCACAGTGGGTACGAATGGGATGTGAACCTGTGTGCAGAGCGTTTTTGGCACTGTGACAGGTCTTGGAGCAGCTAGCAGAGTGCCCTGATAGACTCAGGCCCTCAGGAACGAGACCCCTTGTGCAGGGACAGTGACAGCCTCCGGCCCTAGCGGAGACACGTGTGCCTGCAGATGCTGCTCTGTGTGGGTGCTGGGCCCCAGGGCAGAGGATGCATCCCTACATCCTGTCTCTTCCTCCTCCGGGCACAGGTACAACGCGCAGGAGTACTATGACCGCCTGCCAGAGCTGCGGCAGGCTATCGACCAGATCAGCAGCGGCTTCTTCTCCCCTCGAGACCCTGGTTGCTTCAGGGACGTTGTCAACATGCTCATGTACCACGACAGGTAAGTCCTGGTGAGCAGCCGCCCTGGGGGGGCTGCTCTCAGCCTGCCCCCGCCTCCTTCCTTGCTGGCCTGGGGTCCCCTGCACACTGCCTAGGCCTTGCCAGTCTGCAAAAAGGTGTCTGTGCTGCCCTGTCCTGCCAGACTGGCAGCCTACAGCAGGCAAATACAGAGCCGCACTCTGTCTGTCGGGTTTCAGGTTTAAGGTGTTTGCTGACTACGAAGCCTACATCAAATGCCAAGGCCAAGTGGACCAGCTGTTCATGGTATGGGGTCCAGGGCTGGGGCGGTTGAGGCAGGAGAGTGGGGAGGAGCTGGGCTGAGCTTGCCCTGGCAGAGCCCGCCTTGCAGGCACTGCAGCAGCGGCTGGCCACGGGGCACAGCGAGGCAGGTTTTGACTCTTTGGTACCTCTGCGTCCCGGTGTCTAAAACAGCCGAACACGCGTGGCCAGTGCCCTGCGAGGCTGAGAGCCTGGGCAGAGCGTGGGCAGGACTGACCACTGACCTTCCCTCTCCTCTTCCCAGGACCCCCGGGAGTGGACTAAGAAAGTCATCAGAAACATCGCGTGCTCGGGCAAGTTCTCCAGTGACAGGACCATCACGGAGTACGCCCGGGAGATCTGGGGCGTGGAGCCATCCGCCACCCAAATACCCCCACCCAACCTGCCCCGGGAGTGATGGGTGTGCGGAGGGAAGGACAGAGGGAAGGGTTCCCAGCCTGGGAGGCCTCAATCGGTGTTTCACTGCCCATCACATACATAGACTTAGCTCTGCAGGAATGAGGCCTTTCGGCGGGGGGGAAGGGGGAAGTAGGACAGCGTTCTCAGGAGGAGCGCTGGCTGCGAGGAGCAGGAGCTGGGCAGTAGGAGACAGGCCCTTATGTTTAACCTGTGTATCCAGCTTGCATGTGCTGCGTAGCTCTCTTAGTGAGCTGATCACTCCACGTCTGCCTGCAGCTGTGTGCCACGCTTGACAAGGGAGCTCCAGCTAAATCATTGTCTCGCCCTCTGCATGCAGCCTGGCCTCTGACCCTGCCCCTTGAGCAGATGTAGGCAAGGGGGAGTGTGTGTCTTGTATCAGCTGCTGAGCGCGAGGTGCCAGCCCTGAGGCTGGGGAGAGAGAGCTGCGGTGGTGGCTCTCCCTCCCTATTAGCACTTAGCGAAAGTGGAGCTCTCTATTAAAGCAGCCAGCTGCACTGTGAGAGCTGATTTCAGAAGCTGCTGTCCAAAAGCAGAGGGAGCGCAGGCCTGGGATCCGCGGCCTCCTCACTGCAGAGCTCACTGCAGCAGGAGATGCTGGGGCTAGACCAGTCCAGGTGCCTGAGAGCATCCCGTGTCCCACTCCCCTGGCCCCCACCACCCACACCGACACCATTTGCTGCTTGCAGTTGTCCAGTACCACCTAAAGGATCTCACTGGTTTGAGAAGGGAGGGGGAGGCAGAGCAGGTTGTTTTTTTTTTTTTTTAAAGCCAAGCAAGGCCCAAGCAGCTCTTGCTCTTGCTCCCTGCACCCACGTGGCCCACACGCTAGTGGGGTGAATGCAGCAGTCATGCAGAGCAGTCAGTACTTGAATGAAATGAGCCAGGCTGCTTCAGCCGGTATTTTAGCGTCTAGGTGCAGCAGCATAAGAGAAACTAGCTCATGCCCTGGCACAGCTCCATGCCAGGAGCCCGTAACTCACTGCCTGGTTGCCACGGGCGTTGTTCATCAAGCCAGCCCAGTCTCCTCAAAGGGAACCTGGTCCGTTTCCTCCTCCCCCATTTAGTTAATTCTTTAAAACATTAATTAAAAAGACTAGTGGCCAAACCTCCCTGGGTTTTTTTTTGCAGCCATAGATGCATGCAGCAGCTTGGTGGTTTGTGCCCCTCGCCCGGGCAGCGCCGTGGGCCGTGCGCAGCCTTATGCTGGGGCCAGC